GAGCTGCTCATAATGTTTCCTTTTCTCAGACCCTAGGGCTTAAGTGAAGAGTTGTTATTTAACCAGAGACCAGGGTGCACAGGACAAGCACCTGTGTTAAAAGGTGCTGTATACCAGAACCACAGGGGATACACAGAGGTTTCATTCCATCAAATAGATTCTCCTCTGAGATAACGCAGTGTTCTTCCATGTTATTTTATAGTACTTCCATGGTTTTTCACATTTAGTTTTTATATTTATCTCTCTCCCCCCACATATACATATACATGTACTGCATTTTAATGTATATACAAATGCTTTTAAACACCTGAAAATATGCCCAACCTCAGACATATTAAAAATAAATAACATTTTAAAAGGCTGTGGCTGGGAAAAATGGAGAGATATGGTCAATGGTATAAAGTTTCTGCTAGATACATTTAAAAAAAATCAGGAGACAACAGATGCTGGAGAGGATGTAGAGAAATAGGAATGCTTTTACACTGTTGGTGGGAGTGTAAATTAATTCAACCATTGTGGAAGACAGTGTGGCAATCAAGGATCTAGAAAGAGAAATACCATTTGACCCATTACTGGGTATATGCCCAAATAATTATAAATTATTCTATTATAGACACATGCACACATGTGTATTGTGGTACTGTTCACAATAGCAAAGACTATATATTGTTGGAACCAACAAATGCCCATCAATGCTAGACTGGATAAAGAAAATGTGGCACATATACACCATAAAATACTATGTAGCCACAAAAAAGGATGAGTTCATGTCATTTGCAGGGACATGGGTGAAACTGGAAACCATCATTCTCAGCAAACTGACATAAGAACAGAAAACCAAACACCTCATGTTCTCACTCATAAGTTGGTGTTGAACAATGAGAGCACACGGACACAGAGGGGAACATCACACACCGGGACTTGGGGGGTGGGAGACCAGGGGAGGAATAGCAGCGGGTGAGGGGATTTCGGAGGGATAGCATTAGGAGAAATACCTAATGTAGATGACTGGGCAATGGATGCAGCAAACCACCACCATGGCACATGTATACCTATGTAACAAATCTGCACGATCTGCACATGTACCCCAGAACTTAAAGTATAATAAAAAATAATAATAATAAAATAAATAAGTTTCTGCTAGATGAAAAAGATAAGTTTTTTGAGAACTATTGAACAGCATGGTGATTATAGTTGATAATGAATTATATTTCAAAATTGCTAAGAGTATACATTTCAAATGTTCTCACCACAAAATACAAGTATTCACATGTTGAACATGTTAATTAGCTTGATTTAATCATTCTATATTATAAACACATAATATCATGTTGTACCCTATAAATATATAATTTGTCAATTTACAATAAGATTTTAAAATATAATGAAAAAACACTTTTTATCTAGCAGATCGACAAAGATTAAAAAGTTTGATAATATAGAGAGCTGACAAGAGTGCCTATGCAGACAGCTTCCTCATATCTTACTGTTTGGAAAGTAGATTTGCTCAACTCTAAATGCAGCAATATGTAATATCAGTTAAATGCACATATTCTTGGACACACAATTTCAATTCTAGAAATTTATTCCATAGATATATGTTCATGTACTCATTTTCTTTTTCTTTTTCTTTTTCTTTTTTTTTTTTTTTTGAGACGGAGTTTCACTCTTGTTACCCAGGCTGGAGTGCAATGGCACGATCTCGGCTCACCACAACCTCTGCCTCCTGGGTTCAGGCAATTCTCCTGCCTCAACCTCCTGAGTAGCTGGGATTACAGGCACGCGCCACCATGCCCAGCTAATTTTTTGTATTTTTAGTAGAGACGGGGTTTCACCATGTTGACTAGGATGGTCTCGATCTCCTGACCTCGTGATCCACCCGCCTCAGCCTCCCAAAGTGCTGGGATTACAGGCTTGAGCCACCGCGCCCGGCTCATATACTCATTTTCTATTGCTGCTAGAAAAAAATCACCACAAATATAACAGTTTAAAATAACACAAATTTATTATCTCAGTTTCTATAGGTCAGAAATCTGAGTGGGCTTGGATGGGTTCTCTACTCATGTTCCAAGGTCAAAATCAAGGTGGTAGCCAACTGGATTCTTACCTGCGGCCTCTGGAGAAAAATCCACTTCCAGTTCATTCAAGTAGTTTTCAGAACCCAATTCCTTGAGGCTGTAAGGACTAAGGTCCTTATTCCCTCACCAGTGGTCAGCTCCCTGAAATTGCTCACATTTCTTCTTCTGTGGCACCTTCCAGCCTCAAAGCAGCCGTGGCCCACCAAATCCTTCACAGGTGTTAAGTAACTTTTATTTCCTCCTTTGCCTTCCTCTGTTCTTTCAGTAGCTCATGTGATTACCTTGGGTCCACCTGGATAATTCAGTATAATCTCCCTATCTTAATGTCAACTGATTAGTAACCTTAGTTACATCTACAGAGCACCCCTTGCCATGTAGCATAACATACTCACAGGCATGATATCATAACATAGTTACAGTTTCTAGGGCTTTGTGTAGGACATCTTTGGGAGGGCATTTTAGAACTCTGCCTACCATAAGATACTGATTGCATTATTGTTTTTAGTGTTGGGTGGAGGGAAACAAAGAACAACCCAAATATCTATCAGTGTTTATGGCACTGGTTAATGATGGAGCACTATATGTACTAAAATACAAAGCTCCAAGATACAGTGTTAAGTAAAAAAGCTAGGCCCAAAACAGGGTAGATAGTATGCTCACCTTTTCATTTTTAAAGGGGTTACAGCTCTGAAAAATATCATGGTTATAGTCAGAGTACCTGTCTCAAAGATGGAGATCTGGGGAATAGAGTGACAATTTTCACTTTTGTGCAGTTTAAATTTTTACCATATGTATGTGTTACTTTTTTTTAAATGAATAAATAAAACATAAGAAACTAAATCTTAATAAGGTTTTTAACTACAAGTATAAAACAAATTTCTCTGGTTTACAGTGTTAAACCATGGGGGCAGCCAGGTGAGCTCTTCTAATCATGTCCTGATACTTTGACCCCTACTAAGAGAAATCTGCCTACTTTTGATCTCTAAGGTCAAGAAGAAAGGGTTCACGTGAAACACAGAGGACAGCACAGAAGCAATTTTTTCTTCCTAATCCAGACCTTATTCTGTGAGTATGTGGTATCCATAGTATTTTAAATCAATCCTCAAGAGAAGAAATTAGTGTCAAAAATGTAAGAAGAGATAAGGCTTGACTGAATGGATATATGACAAAAAACTATTTGATACTCTAAGAGGAACTTACAAAGGAGGCAAATCTGGGGCCAGTTCCTCAAGATTCAGCCACTGAGCCCAGGGCTGGACCCAGATGCTGAAGACATCCTCTTTTTTTGTAAGTATTTGATATTCTTTGTGGTATCAAGCACAACTGAGTGTGGAAATAACTATCAGCTGTCATTTCTTCTTGGGTGACTTGCTGTCAAAATCCTGAAAAACAGCTATATCGTTGCTTTAAAAAACAATATCTTAATAAGACGTGATTTTGCTCTCTTATGTGACCAAGTTATCACACTTTCTACCACAATGTGGAGAATGTACCTCTTGCCTGAATTCTGAGGGCAATTTTTGTATACAATCCAAGTAAGTGTTTACTAATACGTTCTTTTTAAAAATTTAATTCACTTTCATTGGAATTAAGTGATTAAGAATTTCACTTAATTCCAATGAAAGTGAAATTTCATTGGAATTTTCACTGAAATTTCACTTTCATTGGAAAGCTTTCTAATTCAAAATAAACTTTGCTTTCTAATTCAAAATAAACTTTGTTTATTTTTGTCTATAAAAGACAGTCAAAAACCCAACTGATGTCTGATGGTACCAGCAGGTTTACCTGAAAGGGATAATCAATAGATCACTTCAGTAATACCAGCACCTTCTCTGAAAACACAGTGATAAAGGAAATCTCGGTTGCCAAGATTGGTGCAGTTGCTCCTATGGAAAAAGTATGCCTAATTAGCTGTGGCTTTTCCACTGGGTTTGGTGCTGCAATCAACACTGCCAAGGTGAGGGGCATTTATACGCATTTGGAATGGAATTATTGGGAGTCGAAAGACTTCATGCATCTTAGCCATATTTTATCATACAAAAAAAAAAAAAATCCCAAGCCTGACTCCAAACATCCCTGAGTTCTCTACTGTCTACCAAGTCATCCCACACCCCCCTTCAACATTTTTCCCACTCCTTCTTGGTCAGTAGTAAATGACAGATTAAGTCTGGATGCCATTCACAAGTGGAAATATCAGGAATTCCTGGAAATTAAATCTAACATGGTTACAACATGACTCTGTCGCCTTTCATATTCCAGTTTATTTTTTCTTTCATTTGACAAATGTTTTTGGAGCCATTCACTGTTCCAGGTGCTAGAATTCAGCAGCTAACAAAACTCATGAAGCTAATATTATATTGCATTATATATTAGGTATTGACAAATGCTAATAAAAAGGAAAGGAGAGTAAACGAACCAAGTGATGAAAGGGGTGTTACAACATTAGACACATTGACCAGAGAAATCCCACTCTGGCTGAACAGGCTACTATTGAACTCTTATTTCTAAAACATCACTCAAACCTTCCCAGCTCCCTTTTAAAGGTGCTGTTGAATTTTAGGACTTTGCCTTTTCCAGTGTCCGTCAGTCCCAATACTATACAGAGAGATAGAATGGAAAGAATTCTATTTAAATTGGTCCTACGTAGGACAGTACTCAATAAAAAAATAAATAAACCTTTGCCTTCACAAGGCATTGACCCCATAAGTAATGAAAATTTTACAGATACCAAAAGACCGATGAGAGAGAGAGAGAAAGAAAGAGAGAGAGAGAGAGGGTTGTAGGAAGATGGAGATAATTTTAAATAACTCAAACATATCTGGAATTAAATACTGTCAAATAAGTCTTAAGATGCAATGAAAATTCATTTAAACTACTACTCAGGCTAATTCCTGGGAGTTGAAACTCTACTTTCCAGTAGTTTTTTGTTCCTGTGTCAAGAGTATCCCATATCTAGAAATATTTTGAAAAACCAAAACTTTCTAGTTATATATATAAACATAACATATGCTTATGACTCATAAAAATGCATGCGTATAGACTTGGCCCTCCCAACTGAGTAAAGGTGTATGTTCTCTTTGCTTTTTGTTTTCTGGGTTTTCTGCCTGTTATGTGTTTAGGTGACTCCAGGTTCTACCTGTGTCGTGTTTGGCCTGGGAGGAGTAGGCTTGTCTGTTGTCACGGGTTGTAAAGCAGCAGGAGCAGCCAGGATCATTGGAGTGGACGTCAACAAGGATAAATTTAAGAAGGCAAAGGAATTGGGTGCCACTGAGTGCATCAACCCTCAGGACTTCAAGAAACCCATTCAAGAAGCTTTATTTCACATGACAGATGCTGGTATAGAGTTTTGCTTTAAGGCCATTGGAAATCTGGACACTGGGTATGTAATCCTCTGAAGTGAAAATTACCAATACTTTTACCAGTCACAGTTCTAGATTATAATTGAATGAGCTCTCTTAAATTCCCTCCACATTCCTCTAATTTTCCTTGTGTTCCATGACATCTCAGCTAGTGCCTTCTGTCTGCTCCTACAGATTTGTTCACTATCCCAGATACTAAATCTAGAACTTTCATATAGTTTCAAAGCCAGAAGTTTTAAGCAAGATAAGGTTAAAATTTGATTAATGACCTTATAAATCAATGTGCTTTTCACTTTCAGTAGTCTTTCATGCTGGATCTGAGATAAGTTTCCAAGAAAAATATTTGCTAGTCATGATTAAACGGGTTCATTTCAAACTGAAGGGGAAAAAACATGGTGACTTTTCTGGCTGAACATGGTTTATATGAGAACAGAAACTGAGGGGAAGTTAATTCAAAATCTGAGGCTTGTTTTCTTTGGAGATTTGAAGAAATAGTATATTATTGGGTTGCATGGCTTTATCTTCTAGTCAGCAGCATGGAAATTTAACAACTGCCTCTTCCAACCAGGCCCCTTTCCCAGCATAAAAAATCTTTTCATGATTCACCCTACATAAATTCCTTTATCTGTAAGAAGATACAACAAAACCTTTCTTACAGTCTTACTATGAGAAATAGCCTTTGAACATAACAAATATAAAGATATCTGTTTCTTACTTTGCTAGCATCTTATTAAATATCTGTCTTCTTAGATGTCTAAAAGAAAAATGTCAATTCTTACCAGCTACCTGCATCAGTAAAAAGTCTTATAAAAATTATTTTTATTGCGGCCGGGCGCAGTGGCTCACGCCTGTAATCCCAGCACTTTGGGAGGCCGAGGCGGGTGGATCACGAGGTCAAGAGATCGAGACCATCCTGGTCAACATGGTGAAACCCCGTCTCTACTAAAAAAACTACAAAAAATTAGCTGGGCATGGTGGCGCATGCCTGTAATCCCAGCTACTCAGGAGGTTGAGGCAGGAGAATTGCCTGAATCCAGGAGGTGGAGGTTGCGGTGAGCCGAGATCGCGCCATTGCACTCCAGCCTGGGTAACAAGAGCGAAACTCCATCTCAAAAAAAAAAAAAATTATTTTTATTATCACTACTGTGTATGTCTTTACTATTTTGATTTTTGTTATTTCCATTTACTGAGTCCTAAAGTGCCAGGTACTATACTAGGCAGCATACAAGGTCTATCTGTGTTTCATAGCATCCTTTTAAGATAAACATTACTTCAAATGAGAATAGGGAGAATCAGAAAAGAAAGTCATAGACCATTCAGAAGTTAAGCTGAACTTAAGATGTAGGCTCAATCCTCACATACATCTTTTAACCCCTATACTGAATTGCATCACTTTACAACAGACAGCTGCCCTGGCCTCCTGCCATGAGAGCTATGGGGTCTGTGTGATTGTTGGGGTGTTGCCTGTCAGTGTTCAACTCAACATCAGTGGCCAGTTGTTCCTCTCAGGACGTTCTTTGAAGAGTTCTGTTTTTAGAGGTATGGATGAAGCAGGGAAGGGTGGAAATGCCTGAGAAGGTGAAGGTGGGAAATAGAAAAATGTACCATAAACACTTAAGAAAGGACATAAAACAATAGCTTTAGATTACAGTTTTTGTTTCAATATATGAATACCCACTATAAAAGGATGGATAATGGGTGTATCTAGTGCCTCTTAGAAAGCTTTTTCTCATGCAAAGAGGGAGAAGAGGTTTTTTAATTGATTGGTAAAGAATCCAGTGTCCAAAATTTAAAGCAAACTCTAAATTGAAATGAATAGGCAATATTGTAATCTATAACTATACTTCAGTGAAATTATACACCTGCCAGCTGAGGTTCTTTGGAGGATATACTTAGCCATTAGTTGTCATTGTTCAACTCATGTAAAATCTTTTCTTGAACTCCCAACCTCAGGTGATCCGCCCGCCTTGGCCTCCAAAGTGTTTGGATTACAGGCGTGAGCCACCACGCCCAGCCAACTCATGTAAAATCTTATCCTAAGCAAATGAGTTGTCATACTACCAACTCAAAGATATTAAACACAATGAATTCATGATTTAAAAGAAATACTATTAATTTTAAAAAATGAGAATTATTTTACCCAGAGGAAAAATATCTTATCATAGAATCCTTTGATTTTCTGTTTTTTTAATCTGTCCTGGGACATTTTTATAGACATTAGAAGAGTATTTTATCGAAAAAGTAGAAGACAAACTAAGTTAAATAAATCCACTTAAGATTCTGGGTTTATAAGCTAGCAATCTGGAATTTATGAAGAAATGTATTTATCCAGAAACTCTGGGCAATTCGAATGCCTGGGCAAAAAAGAGATGAGAATTAGAGGAGTTGTCTGCATTACCTGCACTAGTGAGCTGTCTGTAGTCCCCAAGTTAACTATGGCAGCATGTTATTACAGATATTAGAAGTCTTACTTAATTCATCTATAAAGAGTAGATACATGGCAGGACCAGCAAGAAAAAAATAGTAATAATCCAGTTAAAACTGTAATTTCAGTTCTTCTATTTAAGATCATTGAATACAACCATTGCCATTTCTCTCTATTGTATTTATAGATGATAATTCGAAATACATATACTCAGCTCAGTCTTGTAAAAATAAGATCACAAGTATTCTTAAAACCCTCAGTGAATGAACCTAATTCACTGGCCACTCTAACACTCATATAGTGATCATTAATGTAAATTAGTTTCTTCCACAGATAGTGTAGTCCTCTGGTTCAATGATTTTCAATCAAGGATAGCATTTAATGGGTGTTGGACAGTCCTGCCAAACCTCCTACAATGTGCAAAATAAGAATGTTCCCCACCCAAAATACCAGTAGTGCCTTGTTGAGAAACACTGCCTAGTCCTGTCTGTGGTCCTAGAATTTTCATTCCTATGTCATTTGGTTGAAGGAATAAAAAAAAGGTGAGGGGTGGGGGAGTTGACATAGATATAAAAATGCTTTATCAGAACACCAACCAAAAGATAAAACAGATAGAAATAGACACTTGGCCCTTCATGTCATGACATAGAGCAGTAATTAGAATTCTTAGTTACATATAACAGAAACCAACTCAAATTTAAAATAAATCTATTGGAAGAGTTTGTGGTAGTTTTGAGAATAAGTGGGGAAGCCTAACCTAAGCTGGAACCAAGAAAAGCAAGTAACTGCCAAGATCCTATCACAGAATAATCTGCACAGAACCCTGAGCAGATTACGCCACATTACACTCTGCACAATTACACCACACCCACTCTTTCTAGAAATGAGCAGACTGCCAAATTCTGTGTGGTAATGCACTGAGTATGGCACTTAGCACAGTGCTAAATTTAATTCATTTCTTGAAAAAATCATGAGAATAGAGAAAATACAACGCTAAACTTATCTTACCTTAGCTAACTCCATCTTTGCTTGTACAATTCTTCCAGAAAGCACATTTTATTCTTATGTTGTTTTGTACACATTCTTTTCCCAAGGGTTTTCACTGGGACTGCTGCCATGGTGAAAATTCTTTTAAGTTATTTGACTCATGAAGCAGCAGATCAAAACATACACGAGGGCATGCACACACAAAAAATGTGCTATATTTAACATTTGAATTGTTTCTTTTCATAATTCCCAAGACCTTGGCCTTTGTTACACGTAAGGTATGGATTCACTGCTCCTGAAAGATTGCAGCCTGATACCAGGAACACCTCAAGGCAAGGTCCACATTCTATCTGCTTTGAATGAATTCTCCTCCATAGTACCAGAAGTCTCCTTTAGGAACACAACCCTCTACACCAGGAGTGTGGTTTGGGTAGTCATTCTCGTGATGACTGAGGCAAATAAATGGGATAGCCTTAGATTTTCTCAGTCAAAGCCAACATCTTCAGCAGTTGCTTTGATGGCCTTTCTTTTATAATGAAGCCTCATGTATAAAATTTGTCATTAATCTGTGTATTTCCAGGCTGGAAAAGCAGAAAGCACTTCCCTAAACTGGTTGCTGATTATATGGCAGAGAAGTTTAATCTAGACCCACTAATTACTTATACTCTGAATTTTGATAAAATCAATGAAGCAGTTGAATTAATGAATACTGGAAAATGGTAAACTGCCCACATAAATTTTATGTCTGTGTGTTTGAGACCAAGAGAAAGGGTGTATGGGCTTGGGTGTTGGAGAAGGGTCATCCCTGCTGCAGAAGCTATATACAGATAATTGAAGAGGCTTTCAGGAATGTGTAAAGCGTCTCCTTCTCCTCTGCATTTTGTTTTATTTCTAGCTAATAAAATACATAATCCTGAAAGTATTTAAGTGTTCACCTACCGTTACCATTGCCATTATCATTGTATTTCCAATTTGGCTTTTTTTTACATGACACATTAATGGTGGTCAGCTTGTAAAATTGTAGCTCAAGTTTAAAAACTTAAGAACGTAGTTTACAAATAGGCCATTGTTGTATTTGTTGTTCTACTTTGGTGGGAGAGAATAATTATTCATAGAATTCCAAATTCTGAATACGATATTTGGCCAGAAAAACAGAAACCAGCCATAACCCAGGAACTGGCATTCCCCACACAAGTATAATCCTGTTTAACCACTTCTTACCATTGGAGCTTCATGTTGTTTTGAAAAATCTTCTCATGGCTTATTTAATCTTCCCATTTTTCACCTAAAGAGAAAAAAAAATCTAGTTTCCTTGTCTACAAAGTGAGAATTTGAAATCCAAAACATAAATGTTGCTCTAGAAATGTTCCAACCTTTTTTCTCTTTTTTACAGTATCTGCTGTGTCCTGTTACTTTAAGTACAATGTAATTCATGCAGGACCTGAAGGATATTTCTCCAGCTCAACTGCAGTTAATTAATTTTCATGATTTAGAATTATTTGCACAATCCTATTTCTATATTCTGACTTCATTTTTTTTTTTTTTTGAGACGGAGTTTCGCTCTTGTTACCCAGGCTGGAGTGCAATGGCACGATCTCGGCTCACCGCAACCTCCGCCTCCTGGGTTCAGGCAATTCTCCTGCCTCAGCCTCCTGAGTAGCTGGGATTACAGGCACGCACCACCATGCCCAGCTAATTTTTTGTAGTTTTAGTAGAGACGGGGTTTCACCATGTTGACCAGGATGGTCTCGATCTCTTGACCTCGTGATCCACCCGCCTCGGCCTCCCAAAGTGCTGGGATTACAGGCTTGAGCCACCGTGCCCGGCCATATTCTGACTTCTGATTCACTCTGCAGTGGACCATATCTGGCATCTGACCTAACCATTTCACCAAAATTGTTCTTATGTAACCCAGTGTCACCCAGGATCAGCCTCCCTTTCAGAGCTAGATTAAGGTTGGCATGAATCACTCAACTCCACATTCTTGAGACATACAAGGTCAGTGCAAGATGCTCTCATTTTCATAGTTGCCTCTATCTGTGGACCTTTATATTCTTATACACTATGTCTCTTCCACAGGCCTAGACATGAAACATTGCCATTTTACTCCAAAGAAACAAAACTCCTCATTCATGAGTTTATTGACGATTCAGGTTAACCTGAATCAAGTTAACCCAGTCTCAAACCCTCATTTATCCTACCTCCTTGGCACAAATCTCTTCTCTCCTGGATTGCCAAAGGAAGTTCAAATTCTTCTTCAATTGGTCAGAATGATTTGACTATCAGCAGCTCATAGTTCCTGGCTTTATAACTAAGCCACCTAGGGATTCAGCAGAATAAAAGGGGGGTAAGGGGAGTCATCATTTACCAGGATCCACACTTCCTAGAAAGCTGTTGTAATATTAAACAACAAAACTGTTTTTAATTCCAATCTTCACATAAAACAGGAATAATTATATACTTTCTTAATAATATGTCCCATGGATTTTTTCCTCCAAGAAGTGGCTAAGGGGAAAATGAGCCCCAGTAATACTTTGTGGCATCCAATCTTTCTACTCTGACCCTTTGACTTTCTGCCCCAGCCCCTCTTAGTTCTCCTAGAATTAGGACTAAGGTTAAGTACCCTCTTGGGATATGACTTTCTTCCTTTCCTCTACATACAAAATGGTGTCTTACCAAACCCCATACACACAACAGGAGGTCCCTTCCTAGTTGCAGACTCTTCTTCTCCAGCTGGACTCCCATAGCTCTGGGCTCCTGCTAGATCAGACAGGGGCCCCTGCATGTCAGCAAATTTTGGCTGACCTTGGGAGACCAAAAAATGGAATGTCATTTTTTGATCTAAACAGGTTTCCTGATTTAACATTGACCAGGAAGGTGAGCTGCACCCTCAGTCTCTCTCTCCCATCATGGTTTTCACATGATATCAAAGGACTCTCATGAGAGTCTAATTCTCATGAGTTGGGCATCCTATGTTTCCCTTTAGGGGCCTGCTTCCTGCAAATAGAGGGAATGGGTGCTATAAAACCTATTCATGCTGGACTTGGGATGGCTCTTCTCCACCTTCCCAATTTTGAGCTGGAACCTCCATGCCCAGCTCTTCTCTGCTCTTCTACTTCCTGATAGCAGCTAAAGCATGCTCCTGTTCTGCCCCCAAATTAACCTTACTAACACTGAGAACTTGGAGGAGTCTTCAGGTCTTGGGAATTCCAAGTTTTCCCAGAAATGTTTTGTTGTAAACAGTGTCCACACTCTTTGTTCCAATAAAGCTCAGTTCCTTAAGCCATTTTGAATGTCTTGTTATGTTGTAGCTCACTGCAAAATTCACTCTAATTTTATCACAAAAGCAGGAACTTTTTTTCCTTCCTGTTAATATTTACTCAAACATATTAGCCAGTACTGGTGACTATCCACATCACTCTATACCCATTCAAAGTTGTCGCCAGCTTCAAGACCATATTTGAATGCTATTAGGTCCTGTAAACTCTGTGAATAGACTGTGAACTGTCTCTGAGTCCTGCTGTTTTTGCCACACTGTTTTGTTCTAAACACAAAGCAAAATCTTTCTTTCCAATGCCTGTCATTGTGCTTCCCTAGACAGTCATTGCATGGGGCAGTTTATGGACTTCAACAATGTTTACCTAATTCCAGATCCACACTGTAGGAGTCCAGCCTTCAAGGAAAACTGTAGTTTTTATAGCTTTTGCCTAAATAATGAGAAGACTTAAGTTTTTCATATTTTTACCTGAGAACGAGAATAATTACATTCTAGGCTATCACCCAAACAATAATAAAATAAAGTATGTCTATACAATATAAATGCCCCATACTAACACAAAAGGTACATGCAGAAGCCCTTTATAGCATTACCTGGAATATGCACTACGAGACATACAGAGTTAATGTTCCCTGATAATTTTCAAGTGATAACCATCAGCTCCTACATATTCACAAGGAAGCCTTTATATTGCTGTTGGTACAAGCTTCTGAAAACGTTTTAAATCCTGTATACACCTTCAGTTTCCTATTAAATGTTGTAACACTAGGGTTCTCTCTAGTGGTGAAATTTGACATTGGCCTACACAATAATTTCAAAAGAATTTTAGTTCTTTCACTTATTTCTCTCTAACATCATTCATAAGCCAGATGACCACTCATTGGAGGACTGGCAAGAATATAAAGCTTGTTCTCTTTTTTTTTTTTTTTTTTTTTTTTGCCTTTTTGATGAGCTTTGATAGTCTCTTAACTAATCACTCAGTCAACTAACATTTACTTAGTAACATACATGGTATTGAAGACACAAAAATGACTCAAGCAGCTTGATATCTAGGGACATAGATATGAAGGTAATTAAAATGGAGTATAATAGCTATTACATCAGAGGAGCAATCAACCAATAAATAGAGGAAAAAATTAGTCCTGCCTAGGAGAGATTAGAGAAAAATTCAGCGAAGGAAATCATCTTGAGTTGTGCCTCGATGGGTGCATCAGGTTTTGCTAAGTGGAGAAAGAATATTAAGAGCCTATGTAATAGCATGAGGAAAGTTCAAGTTGGTGAAAGAATATGGTCTGTCATAGTGTATATGAAAAGAGTGGGAGAGAAGTGTGGCTGGACCAAACAATGAAGAGAGGGAAGGACTTAGTTTTACAGACCAGGGGTAGTTACAGAAGGTTTTCAAGGAAAAAGGCTCAAATCTGAGCCTTTTTCCTTGAAAAGCATGCTCAAATCTGTGTTTCAGAAAAACATTACTTTTCAGCCTGGGCAACATAGTAATAACTATTCTCTACAAGAAGAAAAAAATATAGCCAGGCATGGTGGTACATGCCTCTACTCCCAGCTACTTGGAAGACTGAGGTAGGAGACTCTTGAGCAAAGAGTTAGAGGCTGCAGTGAGCCAGGATTGTGCTACTGCTCTCCAGCCTGGGCAAAAAAGCTAGACCTTGTCTCACAAAAGGAAAAAAAAAATGCCTTTGGCAGCACTGTGGAGGATAGTATGAGGAGAACAGAGACTGGAAGGAGGAAGAATAATTGAGAAGCTGCTCATTAAGGCACAATTGAGAAGCTGTGTATTAAGATGTAATTAAGGAGAAGAATCTTGAATCTAAAACCAATGACTGTGAGTACAAGTTATATGAAAGCTTCTTGTAACTGCTGCCATCAGTGCAAGAACTATAGAAGATTGATCTGCCTGCTCCTATTGAAGCAGTCTGGAAGTCCTCAGAAATTTATACCCCACCAAGCAGCCCTCCACAAGTGACTGGTAGTAGTCTCTGTAAAATAGACAAGGCCACAGAGTTTTCCATGGAATTAAATTCTAGTTGCCCACTTTGGTAGCCAGTTTTAAAATGCACTCTTACACCCATGTTTATAACAGCATTGTTCACAATAGCCAGAAGGTAGAAACAGCCCAAATGTTAACTGAGGAGTGGATGGTGTATTAGTCCGTTCTTGCTTTGCTATAAAGAAACACCTGAGACTGGGTAATTTATAAAGAAAAGAGGTTTAATTGGCTCATAGTTCCACAGGCTATACATGTTATACAGGAAGCATGATACTGGCATCTGTTGAGCTTCTGGGGAGGCTCAGGAAACTTGGAATCATAGCAGAAGACAAAAGGAGGGCAAGTCATCTCACACGGTGGAAGCAGAAGCAGGGGGTGGGGGGAGGTGCTGCACACTTTTAAACAATGAGACCTTGCAATAACTCACTATCATGAGAACAGCACCAAGAATATGGTGCTAAATCATTCATGAAGGACCACCATCGTGATCCAATCACCACCCACCGGCCCTATCTCCAACACTGGGGACTACAACTCAACATGAGATGTGGGTGGGGACACAGATCCAAACCATATCAGATGGATAAACAAAATGTGGTGTGTGCATACGGTAAAATATTTTTCAGCCTTAAAAAGTGAGGAAATTCTGACACATACTATGGCATGGATGGCTTATTTCAATTAACATAATGTCTAAGTGACATGTTAATGTCATCATGCTAAGTGAAATAGCCATTCAAAAAGGTACAAATACTCTATGATTCCATTTATATGAGGTACCTAGAGTAGTCAAATTCATAGAGACAAAAAGTAGAATGGTAGTCACCAGGGGGTAGGGAGAGGGAAGAATTCAAGATTAGTGTTTAATAGGAAATTTCAGTTTGGGGAAAAAAATTTTTAAAGATGGGTGGTGTGATGGTTTCACAACAACATAAATGTACTTAATGCCACCAAACTATCAAAGCTGTTAAAAATTGTAAAAATTATAAAATTTACTATATACGTTTTATCATAATTTTTTAATGCACTCTTATTGGCACTATTTTCTTCCTTGTATCGCCTTCCCCATGGCCCTATTGGGATCCCATTTTGCTTTTTAGTGGAATTACTAGAAATATAATTTTTGTCTCAATACC